CGTCGGACTTCCCCGCATCGCCGCAGCTTCGACCTCGCGCAGCCACCTCGCACCGCCGCCGAATGACCAAGCCCATGGCGCGCGGCGGCCGCTCAGGTGACTGGGACGCCTCCAACGTCCACGAGGATACCGTCTCTGTCAGTGCGCCTTCGCTCGAGAACGTGTGACTGATGCTGTTGAGAAATGATGGTACGAATAATCAAAGACGGTTGAGCAAATCGAAGCTGCAGCGTCGGCCAGCTCTTCACCTAAACCCAGAAAATTGTAGCTATCGCCTAGCTATCTCGACCACACAAAGCACCTCCCTTTTTGGACTGACGACGCAGGCACAGGCATCCTGAATCTGGCCAACAACCGACCTAATCACACGATCACTTTGAACTGTATAAATTGCCAGGCATTGACCCATGTTCATACATCGCAGCAGCGCAGAAGCAACATCTTGCAGTCACCTGCTACACACGAGACAGAAAACCGTCTCTCAACAGTACCTTCGCTAATTCTAGCTATATATATGGCTTCCAACGCGAGCATGTTGGCCGTGATCATGGCGTGCGCGCTCCTCCTCGCCGGCAGCACGTGCCACGCCGCCCGCAACCTGGCCGGCACGACGCTGGCGGGTGCCGCTCCGGCTGCTAGCGCCGTCCCTGGCCTGCCGGCCGTGCCGACCTTGCCTGCCGTGCCCACGGACACGGTCACCCTGATGCCGCCCGTGCCGTCGGTCACTCTCCCCACCGTGCCGCAGGTGATGCTGCCGCCCATGCCCGCCATCGTCGTGCCCAAGGCGGTCCTGCCGCCCATGCCCAAGGTCACCCTACCCACCGTGCCGCAGGTGACGATGGCACCAATGCCCGCCATTGTCGTGCCCAAGGTGACGCTGCCGCTGTTGCCGTTCGTCCCGAATGTGAATGTGCCTATGCCGTTCGCGGCACCACCCCCGTCAGCGTAGGCACGTCCTCGCGGCGGTGCTCTCGCCCTGTCCACGTCTACGATAGGGCTCCATTTCGTGTGAGAGTAGCGCCAGGTCACTCCGTGGACACGACGTACATTTTCTTACATGCAAGCTTGGTCTTTTATATGCGATGTATCACAGTGTCAGTAATTCTTGCCCTTTTTTTACGTCTCAGTAGTATATGTATTTGTAGTGTTTGAATGTTGAGGGTTTTGTCCCATTGTATGTATTTCTTGATCTTCTTAAATACAAATTACTATTTACGGTATTTGTGTTTTTCCTACATAGAAATTTCTATTTAGAGCATCTCCAAACAGGCGCACGAAATATCAGGCGTGTGCTGGATAAACCGCCAGCTTGGCGCGCGAGAGGCCGCGCGGGGCGCTCCAGCAGGCGCGCAGAAAAAACTGACGTGCACAAGGAAAAGCGGCAGCGCGCGGTGCGACGCCTAGCGTACTGGTTAAAAGCCGTGCGCCAGTACCCGCCAACCGCCATGATTTCCCTACCGCCGCGCCTTCTTCCTTGCCTCTTCCAGCGCCCCGCCGCCGCCGTGCCTTCTCCCGCGCCTCACTGCCGCCCCGCCGTCTCCCCCGCCATGCCACCGCGCCCCCGGAGCAGCTCGGGCTTCCACGACGTCCGCCTCCACCCCTCCAGCGTGTATTACGCGAAGAACGCTCTGGCGATACACGCCTCGGGCTCGGAACATTCAAGGCCGCCCGCACGTACGACGCGCTAGCGTGGCACCTCAGGAGGCCACAGGCGCAGATGAACTTCTCCGATGTGCGGACGCGCGAGCAGGCGCAGGAACTCACGCCTCCCCCGCGACTAATCACCAACAAGGATCGCCGCCTCCAGCGGAGGCGGGAGCGCCGCCTCCTCATCGACGAGGCAGACGAGCACGCCCTGGCGGTGTGGCCCGAGTGCTTCTCGCAGGATGTCACTGCCACGAACGAGTACACGGCGCAGAGGATGGCAGAGCGAGCCATGCGTCGGGCGGACAAGCGTGCGGGGAAGGAACTGGTGGAAGGCCAGATCGAGCTGGGACCTGCGTCGACCTGAGACGATGAAGATCCTCAGTGGCTCGATGCGTTTACGTCGTCGGACTACATCACCGAGGAGGACGAGTAGTAGTTTTATCTACTTTTATTTAGCATCCTATGAACTAGCTTTGGTTTGGGGCTTGAACTATGCTATGGATTTGAACCATGTGTTGTTTCATATTTTTGTCGTATGTGCTGTTTCAATTTTTATCTAGTTTTATTTAAATTAGCATCGTTTTATCAGGTCACGCGCGCTGGATTTTGCGGCGCCTGGTGAAGCACTATAGCGACATGCTAAATTTTGCAGCATCTGGTAAAGCAACCACCCTTATGCGCGTGCTAAAATGCTATTTCGATATTGTAAAAAAAAATTAGTGCGCCGCGCAATTGGCGTGCCTATTAGAGATGCTCTTACGCTGAGTTATACTTGTCATGCATATAACTGAGTTAACGAGTGATGTTATATCATCTCTTCCCTTCCAGGTGCTCGGAAAATCATCTCTAATCCCGCAAAAGGAAAACATCTCTAAAAAACGTACAATTGCACCAAAAACTACAATTACAAAAAAACAGTTCAAATTGCATGAGTGTAATTGCACAAAAGGTGTAGTTGCACAAATATAAAAGTGCAACAAAATATTGAAACAAAATATAAAAGTACAATTTTTTTGTTGCGGACAATATAATTGAACCATATGAAAGTGTATCTGCACCCAACAAAACGCAAATGCACAAAAAAAAAGTTAATTGCACCCAAAAAGTGAAAATGTGCAATTTATTTCCACGCATGATAAACAAAAAAAAGAATGAAAAATTAAATGACAAAGATAAATTACTAAAACACTTTTGAAAACAAAAAGAATAAACACAAACATTCTTGGGAAATGCATTTGTACCTGCGCAAGCGGTACACGAGTTATCACATCCATCCATTGACAAAAGAATGCATTGAGATGTGGAAAAAGTGGTGGTGGAGGTAATATGTTTCTAGCCATTCTGTATATACTTTGAAAATGAGAGAAGAACTAATGTGATCCCTGCGGCATGACACAAAGGCATCTCATGGGTGTTTAGACTCAAAAAATAAAAACCCTGTTTCTTTGTGTTTCTTCTCGATGCCATGGTTGCCCGTTGAGATGGAAGACCATTTTTTATATGCTAGCAAGGCTGACTCTACCTAATAAAGTTCACAAAAAAAGGCCTACGCTACAATCCGGCCGGCCCAACTGTATTCGAAGAACTTCATGTACTCGGCTATGCAGAGTCAAGGTAATCAAACGATAAAAAACCAAGGTAATCAAATGCATCCAAGCCCATGGAGGACATTGTTATCCCCCAAACAAAAACTGACACTGCAAGTTCAGGCATATATTGCAGCTAACCTTTAAAGAAATTTACAACAAGATCCCGCTGCATTTGCATGGTTTTACTCCAGAAATGTCGCTGGACAGATTGATCACAGGAACAGAAAAATAGAGGGTAAGCAACAGTTGCGACAGAGAAAACGGTGGCATGTCCTACACTCCCTACTCACTCGGCCCATACCTTTAGGCATGCGGCATCACTCAGTTCCGACATTGTAGCAAGCACGTCCCAAAATAGTACTAATTCATGATATTATTCTTACAGACGAATGTGAGATTTGCAAAAATAGAAGTAGGAAACGATACAGTTGCGTTGTGTTACTCCATACTGAACACTCCATAATAACATACAGTACTGTAAATCTTAGTGTATTGTCTTGGGTGTTCTCCCTTTGCCAGCTGCGGTCTTCCATACAGTGTGACAGGATAACTATACTGCCGGCATTTAACCAAAAGGCCCAGAGCCCCAGACGCAGTCCACATAAAGTAACTATTCTGGATGGAAGCGACAAATTTATCTAATCCACTCCAGCGTCTAGTGAGGTTCTGGACAGTTTATCACACATCAGCGCTGGATGAATGTCGCCACCAGGGCAACAATTGCGGCAGCGGCTTTGGGCCTTGACTTCTCGTCCTCGAACAGCACAGCCAAGATGACGGCGGCTTTCGAGGAAGAATTGAATACTGCCGGAATGTGCAGCGCACACCATGCGACGTTCCCACCTACTTGCTCAACCATCAGCAGAATCCTTGAATTAGAAGAATCAAGTTTCCAAATCAGAAAAGCAAAGTAGCACTTCATATAAAGAACGGGGAACAGGGCCAAACCATCGTTGTCTGCAAACCAACTGGTCACCCCAGCTAAAATAGACTACACCAACAAATCCGCAGCTGAAGCCTTTTGAATCAATCTGTAACTAACATCACAACAGACATACATAAAATCCAGAATAAAGGAAATACATAAAATCCTCTGTCGAAGGCATACATAAAATCCATAAAAGCCAATGCCTTCAAAAGAAAAGGCTCTTGATACCTAAACAACGTGGCAAACAAGAGGCTTAAAGCTTCAACATGTATGGAGTATTCGCTCAAGATGTTTAAACATATCCTACGATGGGAATAAGTTATGGTACTTGCACCACAAGTAATCGTTCATTACCCATAAATAGTTACCACCAAAGGCATTCATAAGAGACTGTCAATAGATCCTATTGATAAACTGTATCAATAGGTAAACTCTTAAATACAGAAATATACCTTCCACCCCTTCATAAAGAAATCAAGATTTGTCTTCTTTCTTGCTACAGAAACCATGAACCGGTTAACAGATTCCTTAAGTAGTTACTCCAATGAGAGGGAAACTTGACATGGTTAGTGAAAATATAAAACCCACAATGGAGATGTGTCGGCATTAGTCATGTTATTGGATGGCAAAAGAAAATGAACCATTCAAAGGACTAAGGAGGACAGCAGACCACTAATTCCTTTGTAATTGCCTTCCCAGCAAGCACATCAAGTGTCTGTTCCTTGTCCCTCACTTCAGTCTGTTTCTTATTGTTTTGTATTCAGAAAATGGATAATTGATGCCCCATCTGCTTTCAGGCATCAAACAGAGGAAACCAAAGATGGTGGCCTGGAACTTAATTGACCTAAGGTTCAATAACAATCATATGTCCTAGAATTATGTTACCTAATAAATCACAAAGATAGGAAATAATTCTAAGAGCATAGGGGATTATTCAGGGTACGTAGCTGACAATATTGGTTTTCTATATATGAATTATGTTCGGAAAAGAACAAGAGTGGAATGCATACCCAAATTCTACAAGATGACTACCTATGCAGATACAGCTGGAAAGAACATGCGAATAACTTCTACATTGTCTAAATATGCATTGCGGAAGCACCAACATATCAGTGCATCCATTTAACTTGATAGAAGCACCTTGCATAACACAATAAAACCGAGCTTACAAATACAATTCTCATAGCAGTACAAAAGGGCACATACAATCAACAAATTCTGACCAAAACCAGAGATTAGTGACCAGAAGGAAGTTGTTGAGCAAAATCTCAAAACTGGAGTTGTAGGGGAGGGAGGAAAGTGAGAGCATACATAAGCCAAGAAGAAGAATCAGGAATGAGAGAGATTAACATAAAACCAGTAAATTGGGGCAGGGTGAAAAATAAATGAAGGTAACGGCAAGGAACAACAACAACAACAACAACAACAACAAAGCCTTTAGTCCCAAACAAATTGGGGTAGGCTAAAGATGAAATCCATAAGATCTCGCGACCAATTCATGGCTCTGACACATGGATAGCAAGCTTCCACACACCCCTATCCATAACTAGTTCTTTGGTGATACTCCAATCCTTCAGGTCTCTCTTAACGGACTCCTCCCATGTCAAATTCGATCTACCCCGACCTCTCTTGACTTCTCCGCACGCTTTAGCCGTCCGCTATGCACTGGAGCTTCCGGAGGCCTGCGCTGAATATGCCCAAACCATCACAGACGATGTTGGACAAGCTTCTCTTCAATTGGTGCCACCCCAACTCTATCTCGTATATCATCATTCCGGACTCGAT